TAATGACCACCGTATGCTACCTATCGTTTAGACGTTGTTCATTGTAGACATAGACTAAAGTTCTAAAGTTATATAGTTTCTTTGTGGGATCAACCTCTAAGCATTACCATTTACCGCGATAGAACCATGTATTTAAGTTCTATCTAAAACTTTTTAAAAATTATAGAATTTAATAATAGGGTTAGGAGCAGAAACTAAGATAAACGGGTCTTTTTTCTTCTCTTCCAAAGACGATAAAAAAACGACAGTTTCAGATATACTCTTGGCCGGCATCCGGAGCTCATCTCCGGCGTCGTGCCTTTTGTTTTATTCTTGTAAATTTCTAGTAGTTTCTTTGTTTCCCGTCCAGATCTTGTTTCCCGTCCAGATCTTGTTTCGCTTCGAGGGGATGGACAGATCTAGTGCTTTGGTTGGTGGATTTCAAAGTTTTGATGGTGGTTACTATCTTCAGCAGTTGGTATCTCTTCACGCGTTCGGATTTTTACGGTGGTGGTGACTCATATTTCCCAGATCTGATAGTCTTGGTGTCTTAGGGTTTGAGAAGATTTCCTAGTAGTCGTCACACCTCCAGATCCGGTTCTTCCTGAAGATTTCCGGTTGGTTTGATCGGTTTGAGATGATGGTAAGTGTTAGATTTCGTCACCCCTTTTTGCGTTCTATGGGTTGTGGGCCTTGTTTTTCTATGTTTAAGTCGCTTCGATTCCGGTGATTTCAGCCTAGCTTCTCTTCCACAGGTTGATGTTCCCTTTTTCAGCTAGAGTTAGAGCTTAGTCTAGGGTGTTTATCCCTCGTAGCTATCTGATCTTTGTGAGTATATTTTGGCTGGAATGTTCCTTTACTGTTGTGGAGTTTGAAGGGTGTTTGATGCTTGTTTATTTGTTGGGATTGAGTGGTTGTTCATCCGCGGTAAGCTTGCCTTAAGCATTCATAGAAGGGAGACTCATATTTTATGAAGTATGCCATGGTTTGTATCTGAGTTATCATCAAGAGTGTTTGAAACCCGTCTTCGGTTGTTTGTTGTGCGGGAATTTCTTTCGATGTTTGAAAGACTCGATCAAAGTTGTAGTGGTATTATCAATGTGTCATCAAAAACCCATCCTCTTCTAGTTGCAGGATTGGGTTTGATCATTGTGTTCTTCTTATGGTTAAATTATGTTTCTCTTCTGTAATGTCACACTTGTAACACTCCCTTTTCAATGCAATTTCTCAATTCCAGTGAAAAAAAAAAGAATAGGGTTAGGACTTGCATGAAGAAGTCAAATGTAGGTTCAACCACTCGTTTTCCCTCCCTCTTTATCCTATTTCATTTTATGTTAGTTTTTAATTTTGTACTCCTATTTTGAGAAAAATTTAGTTGAAAGCAACAACGAAAGTCCACTTAGACCAACAAATTTTTGCCCGTTTCCGATTAGGCATCGCCATGTCTATAGCGACTTATGTGATCAATTCATCATCATTTTAATGCCAGCTTGGCAAAATTTCATATTATCGAGCCACAACAGACCAACCGAGCCATAGATAATATTCACAATTCTTCCACAACGACTGGAAATGCAGAATTTCAAAAAAACATAATAAAGAAAAGGCAGAGTGATGATAAAGTATGTTTAGTAAGGGGACAAAACTCTCGACCTTCTATAGTGCTCGGCCATTCATGTAGTTGTTCGTTTCATCATCAAGACGTTGTTACCCGATAATTTTTGTTTTTATCCAAATAAGGTGTATTCGAATGCAAAAAATGGATGTTTAATGAAATGCATTGGTTAGCATGGAAAAAGTTATGTCGCGGAAAGATGAAAATATAGATGATTTTAATTCTGCCCCCCAACTCTTTGTTAGAAGTATTTCGGTTTCAACAAATCTATGGAAACGC